ACCTCTGGGCCCAGCAGCCGCAACGAACACACAAAAACTGGAGCCTGCTCAACTTGGTTTGCGATGGCTCTGGGGCTCTGGGGTGGATCTCATGAGAGGCCACACCAACAATCAGGTGCCCCAGGGGACGGCGGACGACCTGACGAACGAAATCGGGGGCCCCAGAGCATCCCAGAGCCTCTTGGGGGGTACCCTCATGGGCGACCACCAGACAATGCTTGCACTGCGTACCAAGCAATCCACTCTCCCACACGTGCCAACCAGGAACAGACTTAACTGAACGGTGACGGGCGAAGGGCCTGACGCGCTTCGCTCGGGACTGGAAGGCTGGTAGCACACTAGCAGCAAGTCTGACAAAATGCCTGGCGGTCTCTACTTCGGACTCTAGGCGATTGGCTGCCTCGGGTCCGATGGGAGCGTGCATCTTAAGAGCCTCCTTGGCGTGGAGGTCAGCAGCACGGTTACCTTTCGCGGGCGCCCGCTCCACAAGCGGCAAATTATCTATCGCGCCCTCGCTTCGATGAGCTTTGACATGCTGGATGGACCTGATGTGGCCGTGTCCACTGAGAGAACGGGCGAAGGCCGACGCGCCAGCAAACAACAAAAAAGCCGATGATGGGTGGTGTCAGGCTCACCGCATTCACACCGGCCAGCACGAAGAGTGACATAACCATTGTCATGTGCAAGCTGTTCTGTCCACAGACAGTCGCAGACAGCAGCTTGAACTAAATATTTCTGGTACTTGGTATACTTGGTCTTGGACCTGAGGCAAGACCTGACCACGTCCAGGTTGGCCCTAACTCCTTCAGCAAACCCCCACTTCTCCCCAAGCGACTTCTCATGGGCAGCCTGGAACGCGGTGCTGAACATTTTACCTAGCATCGCAGGGGAGCATTGCGTGAGCTGGATGGTGATGCCATCCTGGTCGATCCACTCAGTGGCTGACACAGGCTTCCACCTTACGCGAGCGAGGCAAAGCGGGATCCTGGAAATCGGTCCGCGAGTTTGGGCCCAGGACACGTCCGACTGAGCCTGGCGCCGAGACCTGGAGGCCTACGAGGCGCGGCGGGAGGCGAGAAGGGCGGGGCGCAGGCTGCCGCGAGAGCGCAGCACTCGTGCGGCAAACGCAGGCCGGCGTGGAGGCGATGGACGGAGGGCGCAGAGGCGGAGCCACGCCATCGGGGGGAGCGGCGTGGAGCTGGGGGTGCCAGTTGGTGGGCGGGCGAGCGGACCCAAAAGGGTGGGCCGGAGCGCCGAGACCGGGGAGCCTACGAGGCGCGGCGGGAGGCGAGAAGAGCGGAGCGCCGACAGGCCGAGTGCGGCGTACTGAGCGCGGCAAGCACCAGCCGTCGTGTGGGCGACGGACGATGACCGAAGGAGAGCCACGCCGAAAAGGGGGGCGGCATGGTGCTGGGAGCCACAGCGGAGAGTGGGTGGGCGCCGAAACCAGAGGGCCTACGAGGCGCGGGGGCAGGAGGGCAGTGCAAGGCCCCACAGCAGCGAGGCAGCGACTCACCCACCAGTGGACCGGTGGATGGCCAAGAGGCCAGCCTGGAAACCAGGCGGGCAAGCGGTGACCCAGGCCCGAGTCAGCCGGGGTCGCCCAGTCGACAGCAACGGAGAGCGCCGAGACCAGCAGTCCGGCGACGCGGAAGGGGGAGGCGGCCAAGGTACAGGGCAGGAGCGCCTGCGCAGAGAGGGCGGGGAGGGGAAAGCGGAGGGAGGGGGAAGTGTAGGTCTCCCGTCTTGGGCCTTGGGCCTTCGAGCCCACAACAGTTGTCGCAAACGCAGGTCAAAGAGCCCTGCCCGCGCGCCCGCGCGCCTGGAACATGTCCTCAAGCCGCAACTGGAGCGGACAACAGGGAGGCAGGGAGGGAGGGATGGAGGGGGGCGACGGGGAGGGGAAGGAGAAGGAGGAGAAGGAGGAGAAGGAGGAGGAGAAGGAGGAGGAGAAGGCGGAGGAGAAGAAAGAGAGAAGGGGGAGGGGACGGAGGAAGGGAAGGAAGAGGAAGAAAGGGAAGGAAAAAGGAAAGGGAAGGGAAGGGAAGGGAAGAGGAGGCGGAGGAGGAGGAGGAGAAGGAGGAGGAGGAAAAGGGGGAGGAGGAGGAAAAGGAGGAGGAGAGGAGGAGGAGGAGGAGGAGGAGGAGGGAGGGGGGGGGGGGGGGGGGGCGACGGCCAGAAAGCAGGCGCGATGGCGGCCGGCGGCCTGCGCTCAGCTCGCTGAGCTGCCCACAGTAGGGCCTCGGCGCACTGGTGGTGCCAGAGAGCAGGCCATCGCAGTCGCCGCCGTCTTCGTCGTAGCAAGGTCGAGCAAGCTGGGGGCTGCCGCCCCTCTTCTAGGAGCTTCTGGACACATCTGAGGGGGGGGGGGCCAGAGATCCGGTGTCTTGATTTGTGTCAATAAGCGGTCCCTGAAAAGTCCCGACCCCTCACCCATGGCCGGCATCTCGTCCTGGGCCGTTTTGACGGGGCCCCCGGGCCCGGCGAGGGTCCCGGCGAGGGCCCGAGGAGGAGGGGGAGGAGAGGGGGGAGGAGGGAGGGAGGAGGGGAGGAGGAGGAGGAGGAGGAGGAGGAGGAGGAGGAGGAGGAGGAAGGAGGATGAGGAGGAGGAGGAGAGAGGAGGGGAGCAGGAGGAGCAGGAGGAGGAGGAGGCTCAAACATCCAAAAACCTCCGTCCTGATGTTTGTCCATGCATTTGCCAGGGCCGGGGCGCGCGCCCCTCGTCCACGGAGGAGCAGATCCTCGGCGGCCACGGCCCCGTCAGGTCCTGGGGGCCGTCCTGCTCCCTCCTCGTGCGACCTCCTCCTCCTCCTCCTCCTCCTCCTCCTCCTCCTCCTCCTCCTCCTCATCATCATCATCATCAATCATCATCATCATCATCATCATCATCATCATCATCATCATCATCATCATCATCATCATCATCATCATCATCATCATCATCATCATCATCATCATCATCTCCTCCTGCTCCTCCTCCTCCTCCTCATCCTCCTCCTCCTCCTCCGCCTTCTCCTCCTCCTCCTCCTCCTCATCATCCGCCTCCTCCTCCTCCTCCTTACTCATTGTCCTCTCTTCTCCGCCGTCCTTCCTCATCCTCCCTGGCAAGTGCCCCCCTGCCTGGCGGCCCCCTCTCCTCTCCTTCCTCTCCCTACTCGCCGTAGCCCATCAGGAGGGAGCACAAGGAGGGAGCAGAAGGAGGGAGCAGGACAGTCGGACCTAGGATAGAAGAGCATCCTCCCACAACATGAGGCTGTCCGCCAGCCAAAACACACAGAGAGCATCCAAGGATATCCTCTTCGGTATGCACAAAAGAGCATCCAACAAGCACGAAGAACATGAGGGTACCCTCCGGGAGCCGACCTCGATCTGATACCTCGCTCCGACTGCAGGGGGGGACTGGCTCAGGGGTGGAAACATCGACCTGGAATCGGCGATGCCTCGCCGATAGACGGATGACAACATCTCGGTGGCAAGTCCGCACGTTTATGGGCGTGGTGGAGGGATCGGGCCCTTCTCAGCGATGAGCGGGCGATCCGGAGTGGATGCACCCCGCCCTGATCCCATCGCCCCCCCCTGACGTTGCCCCCGAAGAGGAGGGATGGGGGGCGAGGGGATAGGATAGGATCTGACTAGAAGGAGGACCCCCCCCCTTCCACGCCCAAGCCGAGAGCAGACGCCAGCGGACAGAGGCATGGTGGCGGGCCCTTCCGCAAGGTCAGGTTCAAATAACTGCTGCACAATGATGTTTGGTGACGGCGCCGCCTCAAAACGCCCAGAGTGCGAAATGTTGATCTCATTATACCGTAGGGGCTCGACCACTAGAAACCTTCCACAAGAAACCCAACCCTGACACCCCACGATGTCCATTGATTCTTGGTGTGGGAGCGTCACGCTTTCCATCGCAAAACCATCGGAACCCAAGAAACCCAGGGCACGTTGGAGGCAAGCAGGGTGTTTCTTGGCATGGGTCTCCACTGTATTTCTTCTGTCGGCGGCGCCTTTGATGAACCACCAGGTGCCCTCGGTGCGCCATCGAGATCTGACAGAAGATTGGCATCCTATTCTCCTGCCAGCGAAGACCTGCTTCTCGCACTGCTGAATCTGGCAATGGCGTCCTAGACTGGACAAGCGCGCTCCACTACTCGCAATCTAACTGCTCGCAAATGGCCTGGATCCGCCGCGAGGGGGTTACGATCCATCACATCGAGGCACGCAAATATTTCTCGGACGGTTGCGGGGAGGCACTTTACGAGTAGCGGAACGCGCTCTGTGGTAAACGATGGCCCCGCTGAGCAGAGCATGCGAACTGCTGGAACGCGTGCGTAGCTGCGCTTCTCCTCCCACGCCCTCCCCCTTCGTTGGCCGCTTCGGGCGTCGCGGGGGGGTGAGGGCGTGGACGGAAGGGGGGGCGCCAGCGGCCCTGTGAAGAACTAACTTGGAAGAGCGTCCGGGCATCAAGCGGCATCCCCCTCCCAGCGTCGCCACCGGGGGCGCGCATGCCAGAGTATGGCATATCGATAAACTGGCCCATGGTGCACGCCTGCGCACGCTGCCAACATCGAAAGGCGAATCTCACTCAATGATCCTCTTTGGCCGTTGCGGGGGGGGAAGAGGAAGAGGAGGAGGAGGAGGAGGAGGAGGAGGAGGAGGAGGAGGAGGAGGAGGAGGAGGAGGAGGGAGGAGGGGAGGAGGAGGAGGAAGGAGGAGAGGAGGAGGAGGAGGGAGGAGGAGAGAGGAGGAGGAGGAGGCGGAGAGGAGGAGATGGAGGAGGAGGAGGAGGAGGAGGAGAGGAGGAGGAGCAGGGGGAGGAGGACAGGCCGGGTCGGGTCGGGCATGTCCTCCTACAGGCGGCTTTTGGAGGAGAAGTCAAAAATAGTCCAAAGAGATTCGGGAATTGCCACACCAAAAAAAGAAACACCATTGGAGAATCGTCTCCAGACCATTGTTTTACTGTTTTTTGAGCACGCCCCCTGTAGAGGGACATGTGCCCGACGGAAGGCGTGGGGGAATCCCCGCCACGAGGTGTGCGCGGGGCGGGAGACAGAGCTGGGAACGGGGAGCAGGGCAGGGGTAAAGGGGGGGAAGGGGGGAAAGGGGGAAAGGGGGAAAGGGGAACAGGGGAAAGGGGGGAAAGGGGGGGAAAGGAGGAAAGGGGAACAGGGGGGAGGGAGGAAAGGAAAGGGGGGGAAAGGGGGAAAGGGGAACAGGGGAAAAAGGGGGGGGGGTTAGCGGGGGAGCAGAGAGAAGGGAGGGGCGGGGGCGCAAGGAGCGCCTGGGGGAGGGCGGGCGGGGACGAGGGGCGCAGGGAGGGGCGGATGCGAGGGAGGGAGGGGGTCGAGAGACGAAAGTGCAGAGAAACGGGGGCGAGGGACATGGAAAGAAGAAACGAGGGGGGGAGGGCGGAGGTAGGAGAGAGGAGGAATGAAGGAGGATGAACGAAAGACGAGGTATGATGAATTAGTGGAGGAAGATGAAGACGGTTAGGAAACAGCAGGAGGAAGAGCGGGAGGAGGAGGAGGAGGAAGAAGGAGAGAAAGGCTCGGGAAAGGAAGGACAAGGAGGGAGGAGCAAAGGGAGAATGTGTCTTCGTGGATAGAGGCAGACGGGGAAGGACGAAGAGCAGAAGGACAAGGAGGGCCTCACTTAGACAAGCGCGTTCCACGACTCGCGAAGTAACTACTCCCAGATGGTCTGGATCCGCCGCGGGGGATCGACGATAAATTACATCAAAGCCGACATGTGTTTTTCGGACGTTTGCGAGTAGGCATTGTGCAAGGAGTGGAACGCGATCGCTGATCAGCGAAAAAGGGGCGTCTCCCGACAGATAACGCACGACTCGGGAGGAAGAAGAGGAGGACCCAGAATTACGGGAGGTGTCTGCGCCATAAACCCTGGCCTGCCGACCTGCCTGCAGCTGAAAAAAATATACGGGAACCTGGAGAGAGCAGCCTCCGCACGGGGATCATGCCGTGGCCCCCGCGCGATTAAGGGCCCTGGGATAGGGTGGGCAAGGGACCCAAAAAGCGGCAAGGACACCCGCAGGGCGACTCCGAAAATCATAAGTGCCCAGCAACTCCCAGGCCGGCCTGCACGAAGAGGAGGAAGATGAGGAGAAGGCTATGAGGAGGAGGGAATGCCAGCAGAAAGGGGCGAGCACCTGGTGGTACGAGAGGCGCCTGCGTGACGCATCCGGAGTCGCCGACGGGCGAAAACAAAATCTAGAGCTCGGAGGAGTTCGCCCACAGCCATGGAAGGAAGAGAAAAGTCGGGGGGAGGCGTTCCTCCGAGGCCACGGGCTTCCCCCTTCCGAGCTTCCCACGGAAAGTCGGAAGGAAACCCCCTCCGGGGCTCCCCCTCCGAGGCCACGGGCTTCTCCCTTCCGAGGCTTCCTCCAAGGAAAGTCGGAAGGCCACGGGCTTCCCCCTTCCGAGAGCGTTCCTCATCCGAGGCCCTCCTCCTCCTGTACCTCCAGGTCAGGTCAGATTAAGACGAGGAGGAGGCCAAGCCCCTCCCCGGCCCAGCCCCATGTCAACCACCCGACCGATCTTCTTTACCATTCGAGTCCTGCTCCGTCACCGTGACGCTGCCCCGCCACTCCATGAGGAACGCCTCCGTGGAGTGGACTGCCACGCTGAGGGCGCCGTTGCAGCCGACCGGCAGCATCACCACCTGACAGGCACGGAGCGCAACGACGGCCATTTCCGAGGAGGGGCTGGGGGGTGGGCTTGCCCGTCCAAGAAGCCACTTCACCTGTGGAAGCAAGGAGGAAAAGACGGACGACGAGGAAACAGTCTTGAGCAGTGAACGACGTTCGGATATGCCCCCTTCGCTCCCCATCCATCGAGGACACCGCTGCCGAGCCACAGCCTCAGACGATCGGAGAAGCCTCCCGCTTCGTCACGGTCCAGGGGCGGGGGGGGGGGGGGGGGCGAACGCACGCAAAACGGCGCCATGTCCCATTGTCTCCCACCTCCTCTTCCTCCTCCCACTCCTCATCATTGCTATCCTCCTGCATGTGACCATCCTTGCCCAAAACAAGTATACGTCGAACGAATGCTTGATGGCTGGAGCACTGGATGTGCTACGACTTAGCTGTGTCAGCCATATAACAAAATACAAGACGAACGCATTGCAAGTTGCGGATCATGCATGCCGTAGTGCCTATGTCTGGGTATGGGCGAGACTGGATGTAAATCTGAGTGGCGTCAATAATTCAATGTACGTGGCACTGGGCATGAGGGCGAGGGAGGAGGCGGCAGAGTGAAGGAAAATGTGTTTGAACGGGTCTTGGTGTGAATGAGCCTGCGTGTGCAGAAGTCGGAATATAAGCAAGCCTGAAGTCTGAAGATGAATAGCTAAGTATAGTGAGTCTGAGCATGACAAGGAGAAGTAGGAAGTGTGGGTCAGGGTGAGTTGGAGGCGCGTAACACCTAATAGAACGTCCATACGTACAAGATGCGGAAGAAGTGACGCAAGCTGATGGAATACCGGTGCTCCGCGACGGCCCGAAGTTTCTTCTCCCCTACAGGACAGGATAGGCGCCGATGTGCGCCCCGGGTGGGGGTCCCCCATGAGCTCGGCGGGGGCGCCGGAGCGCCGAAACTCTGATGTCGCAGTACATGGTTATTTTAAGATTTCGAGTCTGTACTATTGGCTCCACTGGTACAACCCTTCCCACGAGCTTAAACATGCAGCGTCGAAAAAAACGAACAAGAAGACGATGATTCCGCAACGAAGATGGTGACTCCACCCTCAACAACTGAAGGGGCCGTGGGACACGCAAAGAAATAGAAACAAATTACAGGATTCCCAATAGTTTCCCATATCTTCTGGATTTTCGTTTTCTCCCCCACTTCCCATGTTTCGCGCATTTTTCTGGGAATCGACGATAAGTTGTGTGTGATTATCCCTCCTGAACAACTGCATTGACTGAAGGTCGAGTGCCGCGTGAGCCTGTCGCCTTTCGTATTGCGGCTAGAGTCGACGTATCTGCCCCGACTCTTCCGACATGTGGCCCTTTGGGTGAACGCTGCAGCATGCGCCGACGCGCGGTTGGGCGACCGCCAGTCGCTCCCCCATCTCACGCTGAGGTTAGGTCGGGCATGTCCCCCCCCTACAGGCAGATTTTGGACGGAAAAAATAACTCATAAATACCCCACACACACACACACAAAAAATGTCCGAATCAAAACATGCAAAAATGCACAAAAACAAGTCAGGCAAAATAGTAGATTTAAAACTGCGCAGAAATAGTCAAACAAAATGCCGGGAAATCGTCCCGATATCATTGTAGTCTTATGTTCGACTATACCTCCTGCAGAGGGACATGCCCGATTCAACGCTGAGGCACGGCCACGCACGCCGCTGCCCGACGCCCCGCAAGGGAGACACGAGAGAGAGAGAGAGAGAGAGAAAGAGAGACGCGGCAATGCCCGACTACGCGGCCACCGTCCGAAGAGGGGACGCCCCCGCGACCGAGCCGGGGCTCGCGGGCGGTCGCGGGGGGGCGGCAGCAGCGCGCACCGCCACCGAGTCTGGAGGAGGAGGGGGAGGAAGAGGAGGAGAAGGAGGAGGAGGAGGAGGAGGAGGAGGAGGAGGAGGAGGAGGAGGAGAGGGGAGGAGTAGGAGGAGGAGGAGGAGGGAGGAGGAGAGGAGGAGGGGAGTAGAAGGAGGAGGAGGAGGAGGAGGAGGCGAGGGAGGAGGAGGAGGAGGGGGTGGAGGCGGAGGAGGAGGAGAAGGAGGAGGGGGGGAGGAGGAGGAGGAAGGAGAGAGGGGGAGGAGGAGGAGGAGATAGGAGGAGGAGGAGGAGGAGGAGGAGGAGGAGGAGAGGAGGAGGAGGAGGAGGAGGGGAGAGAAGGAGGAGAGGGGAGGAGGAGGAGGAGGAGGAGGAGGAGAGAGGAGGGAGGAGGAGAGAGGAAGGAGGTGAGGAGGAGGAGGAGGAGGAGGAGGGAGGAGGAGGAGAGGAGGAGGAGAGGAGAGGAGGAGGAGGAGGAGGAGGAGGAGGAGGGAGGGGGAGGAGGAGTAGGAGGAGGAGAGGAGGAGGGTGAGGAGGAGGAGGAGGAGAGGCAAGGAGGAGGAGGAGGAGGAGGAGGGAGGAGGATGAGGAGGAGGAGGAGGAGAGGAGGAGGAGGAGGGGGAGGAGGAGGAGGGGGAGGAGTCGCGATCCCATAGGACGACGCGCCAAGTTCGATTCGGGACGGGCAATAGTGGCGGGAAAAGACGAGCGAGCGCAATCGAGCACAGAACGAATGTGGGCCCCAGGGCACGGTATGCCCAGCCGAAGCATCGCAGCAGTGACAAGAGGCCCCACGAAGAACTCCCAGGAGACGGCCAAGCCGAAAACCCAGGACAGAGACGAGTTTCAGAAACCCGAATGTATATGGACAGATTATATGAAGAGCAGGCCTAGCCATTGGACCGCGTCGTCCGTGACTAAGAGCCTGCGGGGAAGGGGGAAGGGGGGTGAACGGCCTCCCTTGGGGTGGACGCCCTTCATAAAATTGTCCCTCCTCCACTTCCGCTGAGGGTTCCCCTCAAGGGCCGCCACGGGGTCACACGTCCAGTAGAGCTGAGTGCGTGCCGCACGGGCCGAAAAAGCCCCACATTTACTGCAGCCCACGAGATCCCCAGAGATGTACAACACATGCCCCCTGGCGCTATGGGGCGGGACCTCCCCAGACCTCGGCAGAGGCTCCAGAGGAGGGTCCGCGTCCGCTAGCGACGGTGGGGTGCCCCTGCAAGTGCGCTTCACGCCCCGCGAGGCCGCGGCCTTCACCGCTCCCACGATGGCCGACTGAGGGCAGAGGCCTCCTGGAGCCTCAGGAAGAAAAAAAAAAAAAAAAAAAAAAAAAAAAAAAAAAAAAAAAAAAAAAAAAAAAAAAAAAAAAAAAAAAACGAACGCGCTTGCGAGGTTCGAAGCACGGTTGATCCTGCGCGCCCTCCAGCCCACGCGGCGACACGGGGGGGGGAGGATCAGAATGCAACACAGCAGCAGCGAATGGTTCCCTGGAGCTGCAAACGGGGTCGACCCTGCGGCACGCATCGCCAGCCTCTGGAATTCTGGGAGGATCCGAAGAGGGGGGCTCAGTCCAAGGCAGGGGAGGAGGAGGTGTGACCCGAGGCTCAACCCTGTGGCACCTACCTGCTACATCCTGCTCCTGCTGCCCCTCGACGTCCTCCAGACGACTCAACGACCCCCCCACTCCCTGGGTTTCGTCCTCACCAAACCCTTGAGCCGCCAGCGGCTCAGGCCTGGTTGGCGCACTTGGCCCCCCAGGGGCCGATCGCTCCAGGCCACGGGACCTGGAGACCCGAATGGGCCCCTGGTCCTCATCCCTCGGACGCCCCCAGGACGCACCGACCCCAGGGCCCCACTCCCCACGGGCCAAATCGGGTCGGATCTGGCATCGGCCTCGTCGAAGGCGATCCAGACCCGCCAGGGAGCGAGCAGATCGGGGGCAGTGAGCACATCGCCAGCCTCGCTGGCATGGGACTGGCGTGTGCTTTTTCATGCTCACCCTCTCGAGCCGCCGTCCCTCGGCAGCTCTGCCAGGCCGCCTGCCAGCGTCGCCGCCGCCTGCAGCGCTGCCGCCTCGGCGCCCACCTTGGGCCCCTCGCCCGCGGCGCCCCAGGGTCGGCCCCCTGTCCGCGGGCCGCGCCTCCAGCTGCGCCTGGCCGGTGCCTATCCAGGCCGCCACCTGCCGCACCTCGTCCAGGAGCTCCGCGTGGCGCTTGTAGATGTGATCGGGCACGGCGTGGATGCCTAAGCCCTTCTTCGCTGCCATGTCGGCGTAGTCATTGCCGATCTTGCCGGGCGACTCTCCCGACTCCAGGAAGGTCTGGTGGCCTTTGACCCAGCTGATGCGAAGGTCGCTGCTCAGGCCACCCTGGTCCTCCAGCGCGTGCCACAGCTAGCGCCACAGGTCCACGTTGTCCTTCCTCGGATGCATGGTGGCGCTCTTGCCTTGCCCCAGGCCTTCCACGATGTCCAGGCAGTCGGTCTTGATGTGCATCGGGAGCAGGCCATGCTTGAGCACCTGACTGATGGCGCACAGCTCGCCCCGCTGCGCCGTCTGCTGCTGCCCCGGCAGCGGGCCACACGCCATTCCCAGCAGGCGCTGACTGGACATCACAGCGATGCCCCAGCCAGCGCGATTGGCCTCTGGCCAGCGCAGCGGACACCTGGCCGACCCGTCAGTGAAGATCTCGCCTGTGATCGTCATGCCCTGCCCCCCCATGCAGTAATACCAGGACTCCGTGTCGGCTGGCGGGGGCAGCTCAGGTAGTGCAGCACGGGGCAAGAGGCCCCTCGTGTAGAAGAGGTCGCTGGGCGGGGCAGTAAGAGCTCGCCGTCGGATGGCCTGGTCCACCGCCTCCGTCCTCAAGTCATCGAGGTTGGGACATGACCAAAGTCGATGATGAAGATGGCCGCAGCAGTCCTGGCAGTAGACGCAGCTGGGGTCCATCACATAGCCCATGGTGTAGAGGCGCTGCTGTGTCCACTGGGCTCCGATGACGGTGGAGCGTAGTGCCCCCCTCGCACGCATACTCAAGTTCCAATGAGCGGCATCAGCATCAGCGTGCAGCATAGCAGCGATCGGCTCTATCCAGTAGCCTCGCGGATCACGATGTGCTGGTGGAAGCTCAGGTGCATGCTCTCGCAGGAGCCAACGACACACTGGGGGGCGCGTGTCTGGTTATCAGCGACGCTGCGGCCCTGCACCGCCCACAAGGCAACAAGGCAGCCTCAGGGCGCGGCGGGCGGCAGCAGCCGCGTTCATGTGGTTCTCGTACATGGAGTTCTTGTGCGGGGAGACGGCGTCCGTCGGGAGGTCGGTCTCGCGCTGGGTGCGCAGGATGTTGTATGTACGGTATGCCACTGCCAAGCGTGCGATTACATGACGTGGACGGTCGTCGTCGGTCTCAGGACTCGCCAGGCCGATACGAGCGAGGAAGTCCGTTAAGAGCTGGCCGCGCGGCCTGGCGACGATTGCCCAAATGTGTGGGCAGGTCACGTAGTGGCTGATGTCGTCCACGTTCCTGGAGTCGTCGCGTGAGCCGCACCCGAACAAGCACGGTTTCTTGCGCGGGTTCACGTGCATGCAGAATGTAGTAGTCCAGGCCCCCGACAAAGTCTTGACCGCAGGCCAGAAGAGCGAGGAGGGCGAGTTCGCAAGTAGCCTCTTCAGCCCGCGCCACTCGGTGACGAGAGAGCTGGGGATGAAAATCCTCCCAAGAAGTCCGTCACGGGAGGAGGCGTCGCTGTTCTCGAGGATGTCCATCTGGCGCCAGCTCGCACTGGTCGTGGTAGATGTAGCCGATGTCGTGTGGTCGCCAGCAGGAGCCAGGCGTCGATTGTTGCGGGTCTCCTGCTCAATCCAGCGGCGGCGGGCACGATGTTCAGCAGCTTCCTCGGCAAGTTCACGCTGAACGATGGTCGACTGACGCTCGTCACTGTAGACCTCCAAGCGCCTAGAGCGGGGACGGTCACTGCGCTGCCAAGCCATCATACAGATCTCGACCGCCCTGTCACGGCGGGCCGTATCAGAACCAAAGGCGTCGTCGAGGGCGAAGTTCGAGGAGGAGGAGGAGGAGGAGGAGGAGGAGGAGGAGGGGGAGCAGGAGGAGGAGGAGGAGCCCGACGACGAGGAGCGCCGTGCCTCGCGATCAAGGTCGGGGCCCAACTCGCCAGCGGCGCCGGACGGGGGCAATACGGTGGCTGTCCTCACCAGGCTCTTCGAGGAGAGCAGGGGAGCGAAGAATGACATAAACACAGAAACTCAGAGGTCCGCGCGGATTTCTCGGATCCGCGCTGGACCCCCCTCCCTGGCGCGCTCCGCGCGCCAGGGGCGGCGCCGGGATCCAAGAAATCCGCGCGGAGCGCCAACAGTTTATGTTTATGGCGCTTTTTCCTCTTCAAGAGGCGCCGCCAGGGGGTCCAGCGCGGATCGGAGAAATCCGCGCGGACCTCCGAGTTTTTTTATGTTTATGTCATTCATCGTTCCCCTAGACATGGGGGGGTGCGCGAGCGGCGGGCGGCCAGCGTCAGGGGGGCGGCGGCAGGCCCTCCTGTGGCGCGCATCCCGCCTCTGGCGCCAAGCTCCGGCTTTCCTGGTACGAGCTGTGCCTCGGGGAAGAGGGACAGAATATCACCAGGGAGCAGCGAACTCCAACTCTGCAGCGAACCCAGTGACTTGGAGGGCTCGGACGGGTCGCGTGGTAGGGACAGCCCCGCTGGGTCAGCAGCGCCTCAGCGAGCTCGAGGACCTGCAGGACGGCAGCACGCTGTCAGACGACCGCATCAGTGGTTGGGCGTCGGATGTGGCCTGCGTGCCAGGTCGCAGGACTGATGTGAAGCGGCGCAAGATTTCCCTCGCGACGCAGGAGCTCGGCCGTGTCACCGCTAGCCACGGGCACAGCGCCGGCTGGTCTACAGAATGGCGACGCCCTGCAGCACAGGATCGAGGACTACGGGACGAGGACCTTCGGCCCCGCGCCTCGTACAGATGCCGCGGCCCGAGCACGCAAGCCAAGGCGTCGCCCCGGCGCGCGGGGCGAAGCGCTCTGCCGGGCGCCGTGCTGGCCGTCCGGGCCCAACCACCGAGAGCTCCACCGGCGCGCGTTCCACCGCCCGCGAGCCCAGCTCCAGCAGGAAGAGCTCTTCGCCGGCGGCGCCGGGAACGGACCGGGCGAAGCCCGCCGGACTGTCGGAGGCCGCCGCAGGAGGTTCAGGACGTGCTCCAGGCGTGTGCCGCCAGCGTCGGCCGCATCGACTTGTGGCGCAGCAACTTCGAGTGCGCGGACGAGGTGGCACCGCGGAGGTGCGGTCGTGCGCGGCGCGCGCGGCACGGCGAGGCGAGCGCGCTGGAGGAGGACTTGCAACACCTGCTCAAGGAGGCTGGCGTCCGTGCGTCGGTGATGCCACCGCGCTGGACACGAGAGCTTTGGCGCAGTGCACCCGAGGTGCCTACTGCAGAGCTGTTCTTGAGCGTCCGTGTTTCGGGGTATGCCGCGATTGAGAAGTCACTGTGGCGCGCCGGTGTTCAGCGAACGGGCCGCGGTGCGGCGCGTGCGCTGCAGACGCAAGTTGCAACACATGTCGAATCGAGCGCCTCGGTATGCAAGCAGCGGGAGCCGCTTGAGGTCAGGCTGCCGGGACGAGCGTAGGTTCGTCTGTGGCCCGGGCGCCTCGGGACAAAACCGCAGATGGTGGTCGCTGGTTTTGTCGGCGTGCGAGGGGCGCGGCCCTCAGTACCCATCAGGCTGCTGCAGTGCAGCGGGGAAGGCAAAGGGTGAGCCACAGGCAGGCCAGCGACATTGCTACGCCCATGCGATGGATCCCGGGGGCTCCAGTCAACGCAATTTTCTCTCCTCCTAAAATCCCCCTCTCCTCATCCCACTGATCGTCCTGATCTTACCCATCATATCTCTGACCCTCTCTGACCCTCCCCCAGTATCATCATCATCATCATCATCATCATCATCATCATCATCATCATCATCATCATCATCATCATCATCATCATCATCATCATCATCATCATCATCATCATCATCATCATCATCATCATCATTTTCATCATCATCATCATCATCATCATCATCATCATCATCATCATCGTCATCGTCATCACCATCATCATCCCCATCATCATCATCCTCATCATCCTCATCATCATCATCATCATCATCATCATCATCATCATCATCATCATCGCCATCATCATCATCATCAGCAGCAGCATCATCATCTTCAACATCAGCATCATCGCGTTGCTCATCCGCTTCCTCCTCCTGCTCCACCGCCTCCGTTTCAAACTCCTTCTCCTTTTCCTCTTCCTACTCTTCCTCCATCCTCATCCTCCACATTGACGTTTGCTTGAACTTCCCTGGGCTGACCAGCGCCAACGATCCCAGCGAGCTCGCCGAGTTGGAAAATGAGCGCTGCGCGAAGGTGTGCGCCATGAGGGCCGGCATACCCAGCGGCGGCCACCTCATCCTGTCAGGGATACACAAAGACGCCTCCGCCTCATCCCACTTGTTGTCATCAATGTCCTCGTCTGCCACCACCCTCATGACGATTATCGCTCCTCGGATGCACTTTGCCTCCTGGTACTCTCCATCCACCCCATGCGCACTGCCTCACAATGTGAGCGATTCGCACCCGATTGGCAACGCGAAGATGCAAGAGCTTCAACGGGTCACACCGTGAGACAACAGGTACAACATATTTTTCAAGTCAGCGGCGCAGAGAGTCCTCAGGCGCGAGCAGCAGATGAAGTGCACGCTGCGACCGAGAAATTATCGATAGCGCAGCGTACAAGTGCCGCACACTGCAACATGCAAACGATGGGTGTGTCAGGGGAATTGTAAATCCAGAAGAAAAGAGCCAGAAAACGAGGAGAGCACTCAATTCAAAGTGAAATGAAGCGCGACAGCCTGAGGCGAATTGTGGCCACTGGATCACCGGAGCGGTGTTAGGCAGTGCACCGCAAACAACTTAACGCGGCTAGGCAGATTGGTGTTGTGGCCAACCAGCGGTCCAGCGAAGAAGACAGGTAGGGTGTGACCAAACGACTCGCACCGCAAGCCTGTCGCCGTAATGGGTGGGGTACACAACGACGCGTGACAACACCCGCCGCAGCGAAACAAAGAGGCTGTCAGGTACAACACACACACACACACGCATCTTCTCCAACCTCCTCCTTCTCATCCTTCTCCTCGTCGTCCTCCTCCTCCTTCTCATCCTAATTCTCCTCCTCCTCCTCCTCCTCCTCCTCCTCCTCCTCCTCCTCCTCCGATTCCTGCTCCTCCTCATCCTTCTCCTCCTCATCCTCCTCCTCCTCCGTCTCCTCCTCCTCCTCCTCCTTCCGTAGCCATTTTGGCTCAAGGCCAACATGGTGTTCATTTCACTGCCGATCTGGGGTAGGCTCCCACAGCTATCAGTGCTCTTCGTATCTGCAGCCACATTCACGGGCGAGCTGCCGCCCACCGCAGCCACACTCACGGGCGAGCTGCCGCCCATTCCATATTCCTCCCTCGCGTGGCTCGCGAGAGCTCCCTGGGAAGCAATGGGACGATGGCCGCCGCAGAGCGTGGTGGAGGGACCGCCCCTGCTGACGGAGGAGCAGCCGCCAATGGCGGCACCAGGCCGCGACGTGCACGCCCTGATGGCGGACGAGGCTCGCCAGCAAGGTTCGCAAGCCAGTACACAGTTTGCAAGCAGTGCCGATACCGATGGACATGGAAGGGGAAGTCCGAGTGCTTCTACTGTGGCAAGCAGCTGGCTCCATCACCTGCCGAACACCGCCAGCCCACAGGGGCTTGGGCAGGAGTCAGCAAGCCACCGCCGTGGAAGGAGCAGCCAGTGGCCGCCGCCCCGACTAGGGGCGCCATCCTCGCCACGCTCAGCACGCTCCTCAGCGACACCAAGCACGCCGAACTCGTCGGCAACCTCAAGGACGCCCTCCAGCAGCCCGACAAGCCTCAGCCTGCCCGCACAGCAGAGCAGGTGCTCCAGTCGGCGCTGTCAGTCCTCACCGACAGGGAGAAGAAGTTCAAGCAGACGGTCGACGAGTCGACGATGTCGAGGCCGCCAAGCAGTGGTACGACGACGCCGTGGAAAAACAAGAGCAAGCCGCCCTGGACCTCGTCCAGGCACAGAACGCATGCGCCAAGGCACAAGCTGACCACAGTGCCAAGCTTGCTGGAGCAGTACGCGGAGCACCACCTGTGGGGCCTCAGGAAGCCTTCAAGGTCGACAGCTCTATGTGGGACGACCTCTCCATCCACGACGAGGGCACCCGCACCCAGATGGAACAGTGGAAGCAAGAGCTCGACCAGCGCCTCGCCGAGCTCAACAATGGCCAAGAAAAAGTACGTGAGCTCCTACGCCAAGCCAAGGAGTCCACCACCAACCCTGCAAAGCGAAAGAAGCCGGATGGGGAGGCACCTGCTGCTCAGCAACCTCATCCTGAGCCTGCTCCCGCATCACCAGCGGAACAGCAGCCAGCGGCCGCACCTGGAGGACAGGCACAACCTGGCACGCCAGGAGGTTCTGCCGCCCCACCTGCTGAGCCACGCCAGCCTGGAGGGGTCCCTGGACCCGCTGCAGCCGCCCCTGCCGCCGCCGAGCCCTCCGTGGAGGACCGCAAGGCCGCCGCCGAGCTCATCGCCACCACCGCCAGGGCCAGGGAGCTGGTCTTCGCAGCTAAGGGCATGGGCATGGGCGCCACCACGGTGCCAGCGGCAGCGGCAGGAGCCCCACCGTCGCTGGGGTAGCCGCAAGCGGCCGCATCGGCTGAAGGGGCCTGGGAACCGCGCCAGTGGGCCCCCCACGGCAGGAGCACCCGCCCCTAAGCCCGAGCAGGCAGCGCAGATCCTGTTCGGCAACATAACGGCTCGGGGCCCGCAGGCCGCGAACTTCTGTCGCAACGCAGGCTACAAGTACCACCTCATAGCGCTAGCGGAGACGCACGTCGACGCGAACGGCCTCACGGAGCACATTGGCAAGCTCGCCATGGACGGCTGAAGCTGTCGGCCACACCCGCGGTGGCCACCAACAAATCGGACAAGGGGACCCATGGCGGCGAGTGGATCCTCACGCGCAGGGACGTGGCGGCGACTACGTTCGAGGGCTACAGGGACTACGATGTCAAGCGCCACAAGAGGCAGCCGTTCGTGGGGTTCACGCCGACGGTCCTCCACTCCAAGAGCGGCAACATAGTTGTCGTGGCGGCGCACCTTCGCCCTGGCCTACGGGACCAAGGCGCGAACAGGGACATCCTGGTCTCCATTTCCACCTTCGTGGACATGCTCATGGACCCGTGGATCATCCTGGCCGACTGGAACTACGAGCCGCACTGGTGGGGCAACAAGCCGTGGCTCACGCGCTGGAACGGCACCATCCTGACTGACCCGAGCTGCGAGGCGGCGTGCGACAAGGGCTCGGGCTCCGCGTACGACTACGCGATCGCACGGGCGGACATCGCCACGCACGCCGGGACCGAGGCCATCTACGACGTCCCCTGGAAGACCCACTGCGTCATCCAGATCACGGTGGGTACCGCCGAGCCGTGGCAGCACAAAGCTATAAAGGTTCCCAATGCCCTCCCCGCACGAGCCAGACCCAAGAAGGTCGCGGACCCGAACAGCAGAAGGTCCAAGGCTCGAGCGGAGGCGTTGCGAACCAGGAGGGAAAGGCTACCAGAGCACTTGCGCGACGAGTTCGATGCCCTGTACACCAACCGCGAGACGGCCAAGGAGGACCCAACCCCCTTCGTCATTCCCCAGGAGAACTGGGACGAAGCCGCCGACGAGGTCAACAACTCCCCGAAGTTCGATGGCGCAAAGGTTGGCACCAAGGAGGGCAGAGGACACATCTTCCACAACCATGCGCCGAACCTCGCGGAGAACATCAACTCGAAGTACGCGCAGTGGATCGCGACCCTGGAGCCCGCCTTCCTGGAGACGCACGCGGCCCCCGTCGAGGACAGGGCCAGGTACCAGGGCAGGGCAGAGGGGCACAGGACCACCAAGCAGACGATGAGAGCGTCGCCTGGCAGAGCGTACCTCAAGGACCCCGAGGCCACCTGGTGGCAGCACCTCAGCACCCTCGTTGTGAGGTACACCGCGCTGGTCACCAACGGCAAGGACCCCAAAGCCCGCCAGCACATCCACCAGACAGTCATGAAAAAGTTGGACGACCTAGAGAACCTTGAGTTCTCCAAGGAGCACTTCGGTAGAAAAAAACGACCCGCAGGAGATCGAAGAGTGGAAGACCCAGCCCGCTACCCTCGAGCACTGCGACGAGGCGCCGCATCAGCGCCACCACCATGGAGTGGGCCCACAAGGCCATGGCGAGAGCTGCAGGCAGAGCGCGAAAACGATACCTCGACTGGGCGAAGCAGGCGTGGAAGGGTTCACCAGGCAAGCTGCACCGCATGGTCACTGACCCCAAGGCGCCGCGCTTGGAGGACAAGCAGCCCCAGGAGACGGTGGCCGACCCATCCACGCTCATGAACCACTCCGCCGACACCTGGCGCTCCATTTGGGCGTCCGACAGCTACAACGCCAAGCAAACCATCAGCGCATACGAGAAGGCCATGCGACATGCGAGAGAGGACCCTCTCTCGCCAATCGAGCCGCAGCACACACAAGCCATCGCGGGCACCGCCAACCCGAAGAAGGCGAGAGGAGTCGACAACATCGGCCTCATCGACATCCAGAGGCCCCCCGAGAAAGGGATCCAGGAGCTCGCCGACATCTACAACCAGGTGGAGGCCAACGGACTGTGGCCGCAGCAGCTCTGCGCCACCATTGTGGCCATGGCCCCCAAGCCCGCAGGTGGAGAGAGAATCTTGGGCACGCTCCCCACCATCCCCAAGACGTGGGCCAAGGTCCGCTCCAGCGTCACCGACGGGTGGTCCAAGGAGCTCGGGGTGTTCTGGGGCACCGCCATCAAGGGCTCCAGCGCCTCCAGGGCAGCGCTGGTCAGGGCGCTGCTTGACGAGACGGCGGCGACCTTTGGCATTGCCTTCGCGACCTTGCTGATGGACGTAGAGAAGTTCTACGACTCGGTTTGCGACGCGCCCCTCTTCGACGCCGCCATCGGGGTGAACTTCCCCCCGATCGCCGCGGCGCTGGAGGTGCAGCTCTACCTGGCGCCCAGGTACTTGCGCATGCACGGCTGGGTCAGCGACATCATAGATGCCGAGAGGTCCATTGTCGCGGGCAGCTGCAATGGCGGCGAGCTCGCCAAGGTCTACCTGGGGCCGATCCTGCAGAGGGCCCATATCAACCACACATACGCGGGCCTGTGGACGTTCGTGGACGACACGGTCGCGAGAACAGAGGGCCAAACCAAGCAGGTCATCAAGGATCTGATCGGGGTTGGCGCCGACCTGTGCGCAGGTATGATGGGCGCGGGGCTCCGTGTCTCCCCCAAGACCACAGTCGTCGCCTCCAGCCAGACGGTCGCCTACGCAGCGCACGACGGC